GTATTGAACTTAATGAAGAATAATTACAGACTATGCAATATCGTTGTGATTGGTATAAAAAGAAATCGAAGCATATATCAATGAAGGAGAAATGTCATTATAAATAATTTCAATCAGCAAAGCTATTTTGAAAAAGAAATCTATATATTGAGAAATATATGAACATATATAGTAGGAAATTAAAATCCGTGTGATGATATATTAAATATTTAATTAATGATGATTTGAAAAATTAACGAACAAATTGATTAAGGAAAATATGAAGATAAAAAACATGAGCAGCATCTTCGAAAGGAAACTCAACATGTAATACATGATGTTCGTCACTTCAACTTGATCACAAATAAGATATGAAATTAAAAACAACAGTCTTCAAAAAAAAATTGTGCAACCAAGTAAACATAATATCAAAAATAGATTTAATATAATGCATCAATATAAGAATAGCTGTTCATGCAAAGAGATTCGGATTTTAGAACATAAGAGTTAGATTTCGAATGAAATAGTCTAACAATGGTGACATTATTATATGAATCTACAATGATTTCTCATCATTATTAATACACTGAGGTTTGAATATGTGAGAGTAATCCACACACGCACAGCTTGTATACTAATACAACGAGTTGCGTTATCGATTATTTTGAAAAATAAGCATAAACTAAAATGAGTCATAGCCAACAAGAAGAATGAAATGCAGATATGTCATGAGTACAGCTCATCACATAATGAAAGCTGAATGTGAAAATATCTTGTGCAAATTACGAATCAGATACTCTATTCAACCTAAATATTATCGTTAAGCCGACAGCTTTGTATCTCGCTTAATGAAATGCTTTTCATCATATTATTTTCTCTGCATGTTTGTGTTATGCATCAATGACCATTATTGAGACTTGTCACATCAATCATTTATTACAAAATCAAAAGAATCCTAACTTGTTTTGAATTATTCATACATTAGCGCATCAAACTCAAACTGTGCCCTTGAAAATATTTCGCATTGATACCAAAACTTGACTGCAAGTATTAGAATGCTTGTAGGTGGGCAGTCCATTGTGATTAGATTATATATAAAAGTAATGAGATATGCTGTTTAACACACACAAACAAAGTGCTACGTTAAAAGTAGGTTACGAAACATCGAATAACAATGGCCCAGCGACATGCTGTTTTATTCATTGGTATCGCATTTATTATAGTGAACGTTTATGCAAACGAATTAAAGGTTACAGTGGTTTCAGAGAGTCTAATGTTTAAAGAAACACAGGATGTGGTAGTAAATGTGGAATACAAGAACATTGGAACAAAACGAGTACATATTTATAAATGGGCTTTCCCAAGCAACAAAGTACAACAGTCATTATTCGAGATAACCTGTGATGGCGCTCTTGTTGATTATGATGGTCCAATGGTCAGACGAACCGTACCGACGATGGCTGACGTGATCCGTTTAGAGCCTGGAGAAACCAAAGTCGCTCTCTTTCAAATCTCATCAGTATACGATATGAGCAAGTCTGGCAATTATTCAATCAAATACAATGCGGAAACAGAGCGTGTCGTGTTTAAGCCAATTCAAACATCGATAGATAGCCCTGCGAGCACCTTAGATAACCTTCCATCAAATCTACAGTCGAATAGTATTAGTTTGATTATAGAAGGTCGCCGTAATATCCATAGCAAACAACCTAGAATTCAGAAAAGACATCAAAAAAGAGCAGCTAGTCTTGATTATGTTTCTTGTTCATTGAAGCAGATAAAACTGATCAACTCTGCAGTTACTTGGGCTACTACCTATGCCAAGGACTCTTACATTTATTTGAAGAATATGGGTTCCTCTGGAACAAACCGTTATAACACTTGGTTTGGAAAGTATATGTTGCAGTGGCATGATGTGGTAATGGAAAATTACAAAAATATTTATAACGCACTTGATTTGGAGTCTCTGATTTTCGATTGTTCATGCTCAGAACCAGGACTTTATGCTTTTGTTTACAAGACACAGCCGTACAAAATCTACTTATGTGATGTTTTCTGGATTGTTGATACGTCAGGTGCTGACTCGAGGGCTGACACACTTATTCACGAAATATCACACTTCACAGTCGTGGCTGGTACAGATGACATAGTATATGGTCAGTCGGCATGCAAAGCTCTGGCTGTGAACAGTCCGTCAAAGGCAATCAAGAACGCCGATAATTATGCATATTTTGCGGCAAACACCCCACCTCTCACTTAATGGGTTGAAGCAAAGTTGAACTTAACTAAGAACTATTTTTATGCTGACAATGCATACTGCTAAATATACTAATCATTCCTTTTCTTATGAAGAACAACTAATTATTCATTATTTTCTTTTTGTAGGAGATTTGAGTACACGTGTCATAACTTTTCTGGCTTCTTTTAATTTTTCAATTATTAGATAGAATTTGACTTTTTCATTATTTAATAAAATTTTGTGATATGTTTAATCTAATATCAATATAGCAAAATCCAGCTTTAGCATCAAAAATAAATTATATGTTGAATAAATGAAAATTTATTCATGCATCATTTTTTTTTTTTATTTTATTTCAATAAGAAAACGATTGATAGATAATAATATATGAAAAAACGTTATTGTTTTTTTCTTTTTGTTGAATTTTCGGTTATATTGATTTGATCATCATCGGAACAAATATAATAACATAAATAGAACAACCTGTACCACTATATCCATAACAAGAACATCTACCACCATTTAGCAATAATAAATTTAATTTTAATTTAATCTCTAAACAGAGAAAACAAAACACTAGGTTCAATAGCTGCTGTATTACTTACATATTCTATTGTAATAGGACATGGATTTTTTATTTAATATCAATTCTGTAGAATGCAGCATTAGTATTAAAAATAACTACAGGTGGTTTTATTTATGCTATATATGTGTTCAGATGATGGCCGAATTAATATGGTCGAAATATCAACAAAAAGAAAAAACAATAACATTTTTTCATATATTATTATCTATCTATTGTTTTCCTTATTGAAATAAAATCAAAAAAATATTATGCAGAATTAAATTTTCAGTTATTCAATATATGATTTATTTTTGAACTGAAGAAACTCATCAGCCTTTAGAATGTAAGAAAACTAAAGAAGGTAAGGAAATCAACGAACTTAAGGAACCCAAGTAACTATAGAACTTTGTCGGCTTGTGTCTGAGCGTAGAAAATATTTGTACCCATATCTTTAAGTCATTGCGGCTGTCAAAAGTATGGTTCTAACGATGGAAAGGTTCCCAAGTGTGAGTCTCAGTTTTGAGTTCGATACATACTAGTTTGTAGAACCTGACGAGTTGATATTCGTGGTATGTTCTGTTTTTCCCCATAGAACTTCAAATGCAAAAAACAATGGATCGTTTTTACTAGCAAATTTCATTACTTTGAGTAAGTTTTGAGACAATTATTAGTAATTTGGGACTTGAAGGATTCTTAAAGTTTAAATGATCATGTTAAAACGTAGGCAATGCTACATGTGAGTCTATTATTATATTATTTTAAACATAAGTTAAGCTTCACTTTATGGATACACTATAAAAATTTTTTTTTCAGAACTGACATAATTTCTCAAAGAGTAACAATTCTACAATCAATATTCATAGCAATGGTGGAATTGATTTTTACAAGGAAGTATTCTTCTTCTATTCTTTTAAACTAATTAATAATAGAGTTTCTTAAACGGTATTGCCTGTGTTTTAACATGACCATTTAAACTTTAAGAATCCTTCAAGTCCCAAATTACTAATCAATGACTCGAAACTTACCCAACGTGCAGAAATTCACCAGTAAAATCGATCCGTTTTTTCGATTTGAACTCCTATCAGAGAAAACAAAACATACTATGAGTATCAACTTGTCAAGTTCTACAAACTGGTATGTATCCCATTCAAAACTGAGACTCATACTTAGGGACTTTCCTCGCCAGATACGAAAGATTTGATATTTCTATGAAAAGTATTTTTTGATTTTGAAGATCTAACTCTACAAAAATGTTTCACTTCTTGCCTTAGATATTATTATTTATCCAGATAGGTCTTTCAAGATCATTTAATAAAAGACTCAAAAACCTTCGAGAAACGAGACTATTTTGATAAGTTCGTAGACTAGGCAACTCAAGCAACATGTTCGTATGTTGATCACAAAAATCTTTTTTTTTTCGACAGAAATCGAGTTTTCTAAAGAGAAAGGATGCTCTACTAGAAGAACATTGTCTTTCGTTTTTCCAGTTGTAGTTTCAACGATTCAAAGATTAATCCTTATGAAAGTTTCTCTGTTTTGACAACAGACGACATTCCACTTTTATTCATCAATACGAAAAATCGAATTTCTTTGGATATTGGTTGTTAACACAAACGGTATTTCGAATTGCCAGGGCACTAGGATACAATCATTATTGAAAACATTCGATTTGAATATAAATACTGAATACGTAATGTGTTTATATTCTAAACCTATTCAAATATTCTCATCGATCGATTTAAGTTATCTTATTCTGAAAGGACTATCAGTTTATAATGACATTTCTCTATTGAATTTATAGTTGTTCGAAAAAAGATTATTCAACGGTAAGATTCATTTTAATCATTTCACAATATGCGATTGGCTCAATAATAGGATCCAGTATAAGAGATTTTATCATCCTCCGCACTGATTTTTTCCGTATTTATCGTAATACATAGATTCAAATATATACTATTGTTGCTTTTCACTTTTATCAGTTGCATATTATTTATTAATATGAATCATCAAAACTTTTAATATTAAATTAATAATTAAACGACAACAGATATATTTTTTTTCTTTCTTTATATGTTCTCGTAATTCTAAAGAAAGCAAAGAAAAATCCTTTAACACATATTACACTTTTGTTATTCTATCTATTCATCTATTTGTTCGTTTGTGACGACATTCATTGTTATTATCGATATCGCATTTGAATTTCTCTCTAGTAGAATCATGGCTATTCGTAATGTTCGAAGAGATATGAATTCAAATTATCAAACGAATTCTAATGTATCTCATTTAATATCATCATTATTGACCCCAACGTCTTCATCACTAAAAACTATTCAAACTCCAACTACACGACAAAAAACAATGATGAACTATGATCGCATGCCTTATCGTTATACAACTGTTTGTTAAGATTTTTTTTAAATAATATATATTTTAAATGGCTGCTCTTACTCTCTAGGCTACTTTACTTTCTTTACGATCACCAATAGAAACAACGATATTTCCAGATCATCTAGTCGAACGACGTTTTCTTGAGTAAATATTCGAAAATTTTTAATTAATCTTAATTGCATATATTTAGTGAAGAAAACTATATTGATCTCGATCGAATGTTGGTAGAAAAAGCTGGTAAATTTGATTTAAAATCATTCAATATGCGTTATGGACCCATAATGCCAAATAGAATATATAAATATGATTTTTCTGATTCTGCCGTTATTGAAGTAAATTATATTTGTTTCTCTTTACATTGTTATTTTTCTCTATTAAACTTATTTAGAAAGTAAAAAATCGTCGTCCAAAAGATCTTTTAACACCTCAACAAGTAGCTGCTCTTACATCAGTTGCAACACGTTATCAACCATCAACATTATTATATTCTCATCAAATACAACCATCACATGTTTGGATTGATGATTATAGTCATCAACAAGTACAATTTAATTCATCTCAGCATCATTTACCATTACAATCTTCAATGCCTTATCAAAGACAAAACCCTAATCAATGCGAGTTATATACAAATCAAATTAAATCTCTTTTACCAACTTGTCAATCAATTATTGAAAAGAAAAATAATGATGCCATGAATAAACAAATAAATACAATTCCAATTTTACAACGATTATTCGATGCGCAACGACTTCAACAGTAAATGAAAATATTCATTCTTCTAAATATATATCAACATTCAATATTAGATTGAGGAGTAAACTACTGTTAAACTTGAGTTAGTCTGTAGATCAACGTCGTATTCGAATTCATATTAATGAAATAAGAAAAAGCAACGGTATTTCAATTAATAAAATTATAAATTTAGTAAAGAAAGGAGTGATTATGGACACTTTTATATTGAAGTAGTTCTTACATATCAAAACGATCATTACTTTACAGATTCAAACTTAATTGATCAATGGAATATCGTATTAATTGAAACTTCGTTGTTTTCTCTGATTTAGTCAATAATAATCTGAATACGGTATTGATCTACAGGCTAATGTGAATTTCAATATCAATTTATCTCTCAATCCAAGATTTGACATAATTTCATATTTGACGCTAACATATGCATATATTCTTATGTTTAGAAATGAACACAGAAAAAATAATTTATCGCAAATAACAGATATCGTAAGTAATTCATCACAACAAAATCATAAATAATATTCTATTTAGTCTGATCAACAATCACTCTCAAATCTAATGTCAACACCAGAGCATTATGAACATGGTTTATCTGTATTTTGCACACCACCAACACCAAAGCAATCAAACTCGAATAAAACATTCGAACGATTTTTTTCAATTAATCAAAATCATAAAGTATTCATTTATTTTCTCTAACTTGTTTACCTTCATTACATATTTTATTATCATTTTAGACAACTAACAAACAAAATCAAGTAAATGAGCTTTTTCGTTTTCATTGATAGTAAAACATATTATTATTATTATTAGGATGTATTTATTCAATTGATTAATGAAAATTTGAGATGTTCAACAACAATGGAAACACCTGCTACACCAACTATTCATATTAGTGAATCCAATAATAATACTTATCATGGTATAGAGAATGATGATAAACAAAATTTTTATTCGGCACCACCATCACGTATGTTTCATTTGAATCAATTCAATAATATTATGTTTTCTTGTTTGAATTCTAGCTATTCAACAGCAAGATAGTTCATTATCATTCTTGAACAATCGTACAGTAGATAAATTATGTTTTTCAACATCAGCTAAAAATCACTCATTAGAATATTGGTTTGGTACTTCCATATATACAAATACTTATCCACGTATGCCATCAGATTGTGTTTTATCAGCATGTGATTTCGAACAGTAAAGTTTGTTTTTTTTTTATATTGAACCTCTTTTTTATTGTTTATCCATTGATTTGGAATGATGATTTTAAAATAAAAAGAAAAGATAGTTTTATTCTATAGTTCCACAATATGTTTAACAGGAAATAGATGATAAGGATGGATTTTGAATGTTGGATCAAGTGCAATTTCCATACGAGATGATGATAAACAATGTTCGTTAATTTTAGTAGTAGATGAAAGAATAGCAGCACTTTGATTGGTATTACTAAATATGAAAGAATATATTCGTTTGATATTATCTAGAAAATAATTGATTGTACTTGATTTTATTGTTTATTGTACTAATCGGTAATGCTATCGAATTTTGACTTTGCGAAGTGATTATATAAACAGGATATTGTTCTTGTTTTTCTTCATTTTCACGTTGAGTTCTTTCGATTTTACCTAAGAAGAACTACGTTTTTTTTTTCTTGCGAATATTTTAGAAAAAAGAAAAAAAAATGTCAAACGTCGTGCTCGTATCATATTTCCACAAAGAATACCAAAGATTATGGCGACAGCCAAAATACAACTGACACCTAATATTAACATAGGTAATGCCTTTTCTATTCCTATTCATAACATAACCAAGACCAATATTATGAATAGTTGTAAAAAGCACTTACCAATACGTTGGATAGACATGTTGAAGAAGAACGTTTATCAATTAAAGAAGTTCACGTAGGCGCCAATATATGTCTTCATGAATACTTTCACTCTTGATTCACATCGAATGTTTCAATATCTTTAATTTTATTTATTTATTTTTTGTTATTGTCTGAAACATCAATGGATATGATATGACAGTAAAAAACCTTCCATCACACAACGGGCAACTTCTGTGACAAAGAAAATCTTGAAAAAAAAAATAAAGTTTTTAGAAACATGCATCTCAGTCCAGAAGCATTTGCACATCTTTACGCTAAGTGCGTGTATGTTCTAGATATAGAAGAACATGCTTTGAAAGTATCGTCGATACTGGGTTAGTATAAAAAACAGTATCGGCGAACTATTCTGAAAACGTCTTCTTAGAAAACGCATCGCGTAATACTTAATGCCCACGTTTTTGCCTGCTGTTCATCACAAATAGGATAATATTTTACTGAAAAAAATAGGATGTTCAAATCATTAACTACGTATTTATATATATTTTATGAAAAACAATCGAAAAAAGAAATATATATTTTTACAACATAATGGATATTAAGGACGAAATTGTTCTGATTTTACTGTAAATGCTGGACGTGGTGACGTAAAACGATTAGTTTTTGGATCAAGAAATATATAATAAGGTCGATTTTGACCATCAATACCTAATACACCAATATTACCATCATGTAATCGAAATGTTTTATCAAATTGTTTAAATTTCAAATTAGTTGATATTGATATCCATTCACTAAAATTATCTAATAGAGCACAATTTAAATTTGTCGATACTTGTAAATTATTATTTGTATCAATTGCTAATAGATAACATGTTTGATCAGAGCTTGATTGATTTAATGGTTTCGATGTTATAAAAGTAGGTTGACCAATAAATTGATATTTTCGTTCTCGACTGATAGATTGCCATGTACTCCATACACCCGATTTTGAAAGAATTCGATAAATTTGTCCATTTTCAAATATAGCAAAACAATATCGATGTATTTGTCCAACATAACTACAAACAGGTGCTGTTTCATCACGTATTCGATCAGTTGGATTATTTAATTGAGTAGTTTTCCATGTATCTTTTGATAATTCAACATATTCTGTAAGACCATATGCCGAATTTCGAGCAAAACAATAAATTTGTCGACTAGTTAATAATTCATAAATATAACACATTGGATCACCTGATAATGATGATGCAATGTTATGTACTGATAAGATTTCATCATCAACAATTATTCGACGATAAAGTATATTTTGAGAATTACGAACATAAACAGCAACATTATTTTTATCAGTTAAACCAAATGCAGTACCCTGATTAATACCACCTATATTTTCTATACTATGAAATCCTTTTCGTGTAAATTGAGCAAGTTTAAGAGAATGTTGAGAATCTCCAACACTCAAACCAAAACAATATTTGGTGTCATTACTACATACAGACAAATAAAAATATATTTCATAAATACAGTAAAACTTCTCGATGTGAGCACCTCATTATACGGAGCAGTACACAATTCTTTCCAGCAATGTCCAGCTAGAAAAAAAAGATTATCATTTTTCATATCGTCTCTATATTTATGACTATCTAACTCTACATTTATCCTAATCATTCTTCATATTTGTGGTTTCGACTATTAAATATGCACTAGTATGATCTTTTGTTGAATAAGTTTGTCCTTGAAATTATAAATATAGAACTTTATAATTCTAATTGTAAAGAGGATGTCAAAAATGTTGATTTTTTTCTAGTTGGATATCTCTTATAATCTGAGCAAGAAATCTTCTTTCACTAGGATACAGAATGAGGAAATGAACTAACTATGGATATTTAAAAAGAAAAAAACAACATTAGACAACAGTAATAAGATTTGATTTAACATCTCGTTGTTGTTATGTTCATAGCTAGTAACATTACACCATCTTAACATGTGTTTATTTATCTAAGTTGAACTAATTCATTGTTGGAAAGAAGAAAAAGCTCATATTATGCAATTGACAAGCGATTACAACTGAATATTTTTCAGATTACCAATAAAGAAACTGAAAATTTCCGTAAAGTGAATACTTTTGATCGGTTCCGATGGTGCCCACAATAAAGAAGTTTCATTGTAAACGAAAAACAGAAGTTTACTTGAAAGTACAACTAAGTTGTGGTAATTCTTCTAAAATTCGATTATCGATAAGAAACCAATCAAATGAAAGTTCTTTTTCAGTAATTGATCTTACTGTAACCATATGATAAATATTATTAGTACCAAGAACGAGACATGTTGTTGCATAGTTCTCATTAATACAATCGACAATACGACGAACAGTTGTTTGACCTTGATATGAATATAAAAATATATATGAATATATGAAAAAAATAAATACAAAAAAGTACTACCACAATTCGAATCTTTTGCCCAATAGATACTCGCTGCACATACCTAAATTCGTAATAGATAAATTTTGATTCAAAGATAATGAAATAATAATAAAAAAACAAAATGATTTACACATATTTTTTTCGATAAACCCGGTGGTTTATCACATACAAGACCAATTTCTCGATGACATTGATGGTCAATATCACATGAATCATTAATTTCACCTTTACGAACTATAAATAATCATACTTACATATATGGGAAAGATGGCTATGCAAACTATTTTTTTTATCTTACGACATTTATTTTGTTGAATTGACCAATAATGAGATCCTTCACATAGACAACTTTTATTTTCATTCCATCCATATTCACATAATAATCCATATTCAGTATAGCAATCATATAATTGATCACATGATTCTTTATATGTACGTTTTTTGCCTATGGTGGTGGGTTTTGTTGATGAACTTGATATAATCTGTTGTATAATTGATGTTTTTAAAAAAATTTATTTTTTTTTTTTTGAAAATAATTTTTTCTCACCGCTATTGATGTTTGCATGGTAGTTATTGATGTAGTCGGTATTGAACTGACTATTAACAAACCAATCAATGATAAAATTTAAGAAAATATAACTCATTCTTACTACTCAATGTAGAACTTGTGCTTGTTCTAGTTGTCGATGGACATGGATTTGGTGGACAAATAAAATTCGTTTGAGTAATTTTATAATTCAAAGATATAGGTGTAAGAAGATACCAAATTAATAGTACTATTGTTGTAACCAAAGAAAAAGCAACGAATATACCAATAGTACAGATAAAACGATGTGATAGTTGATTCTATAGAAGATAAATTTTTAGATAAGTACACAAATGAATTTAATTTACGTTAATAAATCTTATGAATTGAGGCATTATGGAAAATTTATATTATAGAATTCACCTTCTATTGTATAAAATGATAAAAAAAAACAAACATCTACATCGCCAGGTGAAATTGATATGATACATCGGTAGACATCCATTAATAAATGTCACTGAGCCATTAATATCAGAATGAAATCGATGTTACCTATTTAATGATAAACACCATGCTCTATCATTGGAATAATCTCATCTTCAGAATACATTAATAAAAAAAAAAAAAGAAGGGAAAAATTAATAATTCAAACAACAAATCATAGTTAATCGACATTGATTTTAACTCATGACTATGAGAAGAAAGAATTTTAACGTACATCATCATGATTAATTGTATGATCAAATATGTTACTACATTGATTCACAAACACTTATAAATAGAACATTATTCAATACTTGTATTAATAGTTTATCGACAAGAAAAACAATACAATAGATCATAAACAAATTATCATAGATAAAAGCAAAATATAATATTAGGTATTATCCAATTTCAATGTTTTGTACTAAACTACTAATGATCGATACTTTTTTGTACATGTGAACAAGTAAGAAAGATCTTGCCTATTTCATAGGTAGGCTCTGATGATAGTAGCAAATTCTTAAATTGAATATAAGATCAATTGGAATAGCGTAATCTGATAAGGACGAGTTTCTTACTTGTATTCACGACACTTTCTGAAACAATGTGCATTTATCGTAATCACAGCAACATATAATTTATTATCAAATAGACATATATCTGAAGAATAGAGTGTTATGGCTACGACACTTTTCTACATCTTAATAAAATAAAAAACTGAGAAGAACTGTATAATTTTGTCTTTTAATGACATCTATGAAATGGATTCCTTTATTGGATATATTAATTTTCTGCACATCTTCTACCCGATTATAGAGATATTTATATAGATATATATAACTTAGTTGTTGAATATAAATTTTAAGATGATTTACACATGATAGGTAATCAATAGAGGATAGATCAGTAGGATAAAAAACAAAATCTAGTGGATATCGAGGTATTATGATTTTCTTTTTTTCTTCTTTCTCTAACCGGCTGATATCAATCGAAATTTCGTTCTTGTATATCTTCTTCCTTTACTTTCAGAATGCGTTCATCCAAATAGTAAAATCATGTTCGAGTAACTACAAACACATAATAGATTTTTAAAAATTACCAAAGTGGCTCCATCATTATATCCTACATATTCATCATCGTCATCTATTAATCCAAAGTCAATGTTAAATCAAGAAGAAATTCATCGTTATTTTAATCATTTAAGTGGAGCAAAACGTATCGAGTTTTTATATGGCCTACTGCATTTATGTCAACCATTAGAATTACGATATTTAGGCACATGTTTAGAAGAAATAGCACGTAAAGATTATGAATATTTATATCATGCTGAACAAAAAACAAATCTTTTATCAACACCAACTATGTCATCATCATCAACTTCATCCGTATCAAGTAACAACGAACAAAATAATCAACAAACAGATCTTTTAACTGATGAAAAATTAGATTTAACTGATCAATTTACACGTGCACATGCTATTGTTGATATTGGTAAATGATTTAAATCAATGAAAAAAAAAACAAATCAAACAAAATTTGATATTATTTTTTCTGTTTTTTTTTGCATTTAGCTCTACTTTGGGCAAAAAACCGTGCGTGTGCTATTCGATTATTTCGTCGTTTGAAAACAAGTGAAAGTGTTAAATTAGTTGATATGCTACTTGAACGTGATGATTTGGATGAACGAACAATGGATGAAATATTAATTATATTTTGTTTAGCTTCTAATCATCCAGCATTTAGTTTTGATATGCGTACACAAATGTCACAAATATTTAAAGAATTAGAGAAACGACAAAGAAAAATGAAATTATTACAAACCGTACATAATAATTTTAATGATGATGATGATGATATACTTGATCAATCAACATGTTTAAGTTATCATATTCTATCCTCTTCAATGCATAATTCAAATACATTAAGTGTACATGCATCACGTATGGAAAAATTCGTTTTGAAATAAGTTGCAACTTTTTTCGGTGTTCTTTTTAGCCTTGTTGACTCGATTAGCTGTTGTGAATTTTGATACAGATTCAACATCGATAAGAGTATTAATTAGAGCTGATTGGTCAGATAATAATTCAACTCTTACTTGGAAAACTCCAAATGACATTCGTTCGTTTCATTTACAAGTATGCGCATCCAACATTATTTAACAATATATACCCACCAAAAATAAATGCATATGATATTAATTGGGACATAGGACACTTGCTCTCAAAACTGCTACATAGAAAATTGTGGGTAAAATAAATCATGAGGAAATTCTCTCAATTGACTAATTACTTATGAGTCAAAGTTATGTGCATCATATAGATCTAAATAAGTTATGAATATCGTGAAAAGATTTTAGACATTTACCTTATTGCTTGGTAAATGCTATAAGTTTTGCGGTGGTTTCTAAATGAATATCATAGTCTTCATCAAGAACACCGTGAAAACTGATTTCCGAAGTTCTATTTAAAACTTTGCATAGAGAGAGACTTTTATGAAACTCATAGTTTATTGTAAAAATTGTAGATCTTTTTGATTTACGTCTATACTGAAATACGTACAGCAAATCTGCTATTATCTATGAGTGACGTAAAAAAAAGCTTTTACTATAGCTGTATCTGATGAAAGGAACCAAGACAAAATCTGAAACATTTACAAGAAACTACTATCATTAAATACTGTCTCTACTCAAAGTTCTAATCGAAATTCAAAAATCAGTTTTCCTGGTGTACCTGAGAATTGCCACAGCATTCATTAAGAAGCTACTGTAAAAGTGCAATATTCCATCAGCAACAAAGTCAAGCGTAAAATTTTGTGTTCATAAAAGTCAATTAAGTTTAATGCTTATAAAATAAAAATTCAGACACAAGTAAAATTATTGTATATCTCACGAAGAAATCTCTCTCTAGGTGCCAAATAATTTTTCAATCAAGACAATGTTTCTTTGATGAGTACTAGTAAGTAATAGAAAAGTTTAAAATGGTTTGATTATTCGAACTTTCATTTTTGAGATATCGAAATTTCACTAGGCTGTTTAAGAACGAAGACGCAGAAAACTAAAACAATCTCGATTTTTCTATTATTTATCAGTATTTATAAAATAAATATTGTCTCGATCGGAAAGTAATTTAACACTTGACGAGCTTTTTTCATCCATTGAAACTTCTTGAAGTTTCTTTAGTAACATAAAGATTTGCTCATAGACAAAATTGAGATTCAATAGACAGTTGAAATGGTCTCTTGGCATCTTACAAGTTATCATTTCAATTTTTGATTGCTGAAAATGGCATTGAATGATTCTAAAAGAAGAAAGTCGCAAATCAAGTATTCATTTTGGATAGGTACTTCTAGAAAATTTTCATAAATGATGAAATCTATTTATGTGTAAAACTATTCTTTCAAAAATAATTGATGAGGATCCATGATCATGGATTGTTTTTAGTGATATCAAGATCCACTTCTACTGATCATATGAAATTTTAACTTATGAAACAGTTGAAGCAATGTCCTCGTAATGATACAATGAACTTCGAAAAACTTTAGCCCTTTTCCTTGATCACTATGACTTAGAATATTTTCTTCATGGAACAACGAAGAATACAATGACAATTAATTCAATAGATTATTTTTTCTCGCTTAGTTGTCGAATATTGTTTATCATGATGATGTACGATTGGAACGTTTAATGAATATTTCTGGTTATTTACGTGATATTGGTTCATCTACTGAATCTAATATTGAGTTAATGAAAAAAAATATTGAAATCTACATAGCGTAAGTTAATTTTCTTTTCTTTTGTCTAATTATTTAAAATAAATTATGTATCAATAGACATCTTGTCTATTTTTCTTCATATATATCAACAATATCAACATTGGCAAAATTTTTTAATTCATCATTGAAACTGGTTGATTCGAAACAACGTTTGTTTAATCCAAATAGTACTTTTGATGATTCATTATCATCATCATCATCGTATTCTAATGGAATCACACCACTCCGTAACTTTGGCAAATTATTTATAGTGTTTTATTTAATAGATTTCTTTTGTTTTTATGTTATTTCTCAGAATGTGAAATACCCATTCAACAACAATCTGATACAGATAATAAAACATTATGTTCACCAAAATTATCGATAAGTATTAATAAATCTAAACAACAATTGAATGTAGCTAAACAAGCTCGTTCAATAATTCCAATACATAATGGTACACAAACAGGATTAGAAGTACGATGTGAAGAAACTCAGACTGATCGAATGCCTGGACCTGGTTTTATCCTTGCTGAATATCAAGATTTTCTTCGAAGATATTCAATGGATGAGGTAAATTTTTATATATTTCTTTTCTTTTTTTTGTTAATTTCATAGGAAAATTTTAGTTAGCAAAATTAACACCAAATGATCTTATTGTTGATGGACTTGATTCAACTACTGCTAATTTACTTTGTAGTGCTTTAGATGATTTAAAGTAAATCAATAAAATGAGAGATGACCGTTAAGCGATGAAATTGACTTACTCCTAAAATTAAGTTTCATATTTTCCCAATAGTTGATTCAAATGTCAACACTCGAGTTCCGTTTGAATTAGCCCATTAGCACTGATTTCGACTGCATACGAATGGCTTAGAACACGATATGCTCTATCTTCTAGAAGATCGCGGTATGCTATGTGCTTAAAAAAAAAAAGTTTTTTGTTCCTTTTTCTGCAGTTTTAATTTGAGTTATCCACCATATGAAAAGTCATTTTTTTGCTATTGAATGAAATCAAGGAATATGACAAAATATTGTTTCTTCCCTTTTTTTTTGCTTAAATGAGATTGTTCATTTGTATAAACAGTATAAGAGTACCCATCATATAGTTCTTCTTCAATGGTGCTATAAAAGCAAAGGTCTACTTTGAATTATATACTAT